GCAGAGCGAGCAACGGACATCCGTCTGGGGAATCCTAGCTCTCGCTCCTCTGCCCTGGGCCTCTGGGCAGGAGAGCCTCCAGGCTGTGTGGGCACATGTTCCCCGTCCTCACAGTCCTCTGCATTCCCCTGTACTGGCTCCTTCCCTCGCCGGGGGCCCTGCTCCCCTTCCCGCCTCCCTCAGCAAAGGTTGACCCTGTCCCCAGCACACACAGGCACCTACACTCATCATCTGTGTGCAGCTTCTGCTTGAGCTTCTCCATCTTCTTCTCATCTCGCAGCAGTGTCTTGTCCTTCTTGAGGGTGCCGGTAACCTCCTCCTTCTTCTCTTCCATAATCTCCCGAACAAGTGAGTACTCATCATAGTTGGTGATGCCTGCAGAAGGGCAGAGGACCAAGCTCAGTATAACTCCACTGCCAAATACAGAGCTGAAGCAACAAAGGGGTGCAGTGTTCCCTCCCCAGCATCAGGGACCCCTTGGCCATCCGCACTGCCAGGCCACCCACCACAGAGCTTGCTGTTCCCCTGATCCACCAGATGCTGTCGTCCCTTCCCACCTCCCTTGTTCCCCACTGTTGCTGCCCCCTCCTCACCGATTCGGGCACAGATTGTCATAAGCATGTCTGTGACGGTTTTGGAGTCATCCACCATCACTGTTTTCACTGTCCCATCCAACATACGGATCTTCAGGGGCCGCTGCTTCTTCTTGTACTCCATGGTGTCCTGTAGACACAGCAGAGCACAGCTCTCAGCAGGGGCACTGGTGCAGGGCACCCACACCCCACCATCACACCAACAGCTCTTGTCTCCCCAGGGCAGTTAGGGGAGTGGATGTGGGGTGCTGCAAGGCACAATGCATGGCAGCAGGGCAGGCACCTGCGTCACCTCCACACTGTGGGGACATTCAACCACAAAGCCCAGGCAGGTAACAGCTGAAAAGATGTGGGATAGATGCTTACCCCATTGCGAAGCATGTAATAGTCCAGAGCCTTCCCAGCCTCCAGCCAGATCCCTTTCTTTGGGTCTTCATCCGATAGGAACAGCCCAAAATCATTGGCTGAAAAACAGGTGAGGTTTCTGCCGGTTTAATCCTGAGCAGAACAGGGCCACCAAGATGCCAGCCTGTGCCCAGGGATGTGCATCAGCACAGCACAGCAGAGGAAGCACACCAATACCAAGAATGCTGGAGCCTAAACCTGATGAGTGGGCATAAAGCTGGCAGCAAGCTTTGAGGTGCATGTTTTACCGTATTTATCTACAGAATAAACCATCTGAAGCATGCCTACATAGTGCTGAACTTGGAACTGATAGTCACAACAGAAGAAAGAGCTTGGAGATGTGGTTCACAGCTCACTGAAATCTTCAGTGCAATGTGTAGCAGTGGTGAAAGCAAGGAAATAAAATGCTGGGCGTCACCAGGAAGGGTGCTGGGAACTGGTGTACCAAACTTAGGTACACCTTTGAGTACTCTGTGGTGGTGTAGTCTGCACCTTCTCAGAAGTACACAGCAGAGTTTGAAAAGATACAGAGGGGGCAACTTAAATGATGGAGCCTCGGTACGGGGGAATTAATGGAGCTGTGACTCCTCCCTTTGGGGAGGAGGAGGCCAAAGGAGGATGGGATCAAGGCTTACAAGGTCTCAGAGGTGGTAAGTGCTGTTCACCAAACCACTGCATAACCAGAGAAAGAGCTGCTGCTGGAGCCTGGATGGTCACAGCACAGCTCAGACCCAGAGGGATAGGCCCATTTTCCTGCTGCCAGAGGCCAGGACCACACCTAGCTTTGACCTGGGAAAGGTTCTTCTCCACCTCTACAACAACCCTGCGCCGCAGGCTGTCTTGGCTGGCTATGTTTATAACACGTCATCTTGTTGGCAGCTCTCTGCGGGGCAGGACAAATTCCTGAGCCACCCTGCTCCTGCCTGGCTAACGCTGCTGTTAGGATACTACTAAACAAGGAGCAGAAAAATCACAGAGGCTTGCTGGTTTATTTCTAAATAAAAAAAAAAAAAAAAAAAAGGCAACAAACAAATAAACAAAAGACCTCCCCAAGAAAACTACTTTCAAAGCAAATTCCAGGAGGATAACTCTATAGCGCTGAAAGCTGAGCAGCGTGCCCCAGATCCATAGCCTGAGTGGGGTGAGGCACTTCCTGAGGCAGAGCTAGAGCAAAGCTCCCCCAGCCCAAAGGTGACAGAAAAACAGGGCAGATCAAAAAGGGACCCCCAAGTGCCACTGGGTAAGGAGAGCAAAGAGAAACAAAAGCTGCAAGGAACAGATGGGAAAAGAAAAGCTGTGAGCAACTGAGAAGCAAAGAAGGAACTCAGGAATAAGCAGTTCCCTTTAAGGCTTTCCCCTTGCCTTTTTTTTTTTTTTTTTTTTTTTTTTTTTTTTTATAAGCCGTG